AATTTTGGATATCGATCATTTTATTTTATCCAATCAGCAAACAGAACTTGGTCACGTGATTGGTCGATTCGAAATACCGAGAAGTCGTGTAAAATATATTTTTAATACAATGCAATAAAATAAATTTATCAACCCGTCTCTTATATTTTTCACGTATGAATTGGAATCATTTAACTATATAAAAATTGTTCTATAGCTTCAGGCCGAATTACTTTAGTCTGCCAGATGAATAAACAATTAAATAATTGAAAAATTTTTTAGACGGTTCTAACCCTTATTTTAATAACATCTATTTATCTATTCTGCTTTGCTATATCTGATTAAAATAGAAAAAAAATAATGTATAAATAAATATATAGATAAATAGATAATCAAAAATAAAAAAATAAAAAAAAATATTTAAAGATACTTATCGTAATATACAATACATGAGCACCGCAAAGGAAAAACATGTAATTATTATTTAATTATTATTAGATAAGGAATTTAGACTTTTTCCTTTGCTGGCGCCTGTATACATTGCTAGCAAGACATGTGAATCTTCCATTTTCTATCTTATAAGTAACTTCTACATAACGATTAATAATATAAAATTTAAAACAAAGGAGACTTTATCCATTAAAAAATTTTTAATCAGTAGAATTGGTTTAATAATAATTTTATCTCCTACTCGATTGTGTGATGGAATGTGATTTTTGGTGCAATTTAAAGGTGCTAACCTGAAAAGTAAAGTAATTAAGTATCATAGTCAAAAATAAAAATAAATTAATAAAACAAGGCAAGTAATAACACAATATTGAAATGGGCGGATCCCAGATAAGGTGGTGTTAAAGTGTGTGAAAATAAAAATAAATGATATAGAAAAAATAGTTAGAAGATCATTAAAATAATAATACTTCCATTAATTGCCAAAAAGACTTCAAAGATAACGAATTAGTCATCGATCAAACAGTAGATTTGATGTGATTTTCTTAAATATGAAAAGATGCAGCTAAAAAGTTTATAAATCTGCATTGTTAATTATCAAAAAACTATTCAAAATACTTAAATGAATCTTATAGACCATCCGTAAAGTATTTTTTTAAATTGATTTCATACACATATCCATTAACCATACATAAAAATAAAAATGCCACCTTCTTCCAAAGGAAAAAGAAAAGCCAGAAATCAGAATAGAAATGGTAAAGGTCGATATTGTAATCCCAAAAAAGTTCTTCACATCTCAGTAATTTTAACTGATCAAGAAAATCTGGAAGATAAATTTGGTGAACTATATAATAGTGACAGAGAAGGTGAGTTGGATGTTAGCGATAGAAAAGAAAGTAAAGATGATGGTTGGAATAAATATGATGAATTAAATGTTAGTGATTTAGAGTGGGGGGATAAGGAAGATAGTGGATGGGACGATGCTGAGAATATTAAAACTGAATTTAAAGAACTTAACTTAATATAGAAAAATGACAGCCAATTAGAAAAAATAAAACGAGGTCCATATATGAAAGGCTGGACACTGAAGTCAACTTATTATGATAAGTATGAGCCAAATGGTATCTTTACTAAAGCGGCAGTTGGTACCAAAAAAATTACCAGTTTTTTTAATAATATCGAGACACAAGTTACAAATCTACAGCCTAACGAGTTAGATAAGGTCTCAAGCGATTCAGAAAGTGAAACTGACTCATATGTCTATAAAATAAATAAAAGGGCGAAAGATTTAAAAAAACAATTAGACCAAAATCATGGTATATTAACAGTTAAAGAGTATAATTATAAAAGAGCTATTTTTGAATATCTTAGTTTGTTGAGTAATAATAATGGTCATGGCAAAATTAAAGCTAGTTTGGAGGTTATGCAGAAGGTCTTTATCGATGGTGGTATGTGGAAAGTGCGAACAATTCGATATTTTACAGAATATTGGTTACTTAATGATAAGCTTCCATCATCTAGACATGGAAAACATCAAAAAACAATTAGGATAATCGATGATGAAGATATTGAAATCAAATGCCATATTTGGATTAAAAGCCAAAATTTCAAAATTACACTTGCTACATTTAAAAAATTTATCGAAGATGAGTTGTTTTCTAGTGTTGGAATTTTGAAAAAAAAAACTGTTAGTTTAAAGACCACAGATAGATGGCTCAGGGTTCTTGGCTATTCATTCCAATGACATCATCAAGATATATACTATGACAGTCATGAAAGAGAAGATGTTTTAGAATATAGAAAAACTTTTTTAAAAAAAATATTTGAACATGAAAAGTATATATCAAATATGAAGGTGAGTTTATGGAAAGGATATATCCTATTTTACCTCAAGGAAAAAAAGAAAGAGTTCTTGTAGTACATAATGAATGTATATTTTATTCAAATGATGGTAAACAGGGTGTATGGACTAAAGACAGGAGAATGCCACTACAAAAAAAAGGAAATAGAAGATCGATCATGATTAGTGAATTTCTTATTGAAGTTGATAGACATTTATACTTACAATAATTTGATATAGAAAGATACCTTAATATACCTAAAGAAGCAAGATGTTACTTGATATCTGGCACAAATCAAGAAGGTTACTAGACTACAAAACACCTTCTTGAACAAATTAAATATAAGGCAATTTCTATTTTTGAGATATTATAACCCGATTGTATAGCTGTGTTCACTTTCGACAATAGTTCTAATCATGGTGCATTTAGTGAAGATGCTTTAATTGCAAGTAGGATGAATCTAGGCCCAGGTAGAAAGCAACCAATTATGCATGATACTTATTTTGGAGAAAATAATCAATTACAATCGATGGTATTTCCAGAAACAGATTCAGATGTGAAGTTATACAAGAAACTATATAGTGAATTAGATAAAGAGCTTCAAGGCAAACCTAAAGGTATCAAACAAGTGCTAACAGAACGAGGAAAATGGCCATCTGAAGGGTTAGTTTTAGACTGTAAAAAGTATAAAAAAAAGATCAAAGATACTTCAAGAGTTTCTTGCTGTGCACGCCGTGTATTATCACTAAAACCTGACTTTCTTGCTCAAAAAAATGCAATTGAAGAACTAATTGAAAGCGCAGGACATAAATGCATCTTTTTTCTCAAATTTCACTATGAGTTAAACTTTATCGAAAGATATTGGGGGCTGCTAAAAGGCATGCACGTGAGAATTGTGATTATTCATAGCAAGGGTTACAAAAAACTGTGCCAGAAAGTCTTGAATCGGTGTCTTTAATAACTATTAAAAATTTTTCAAGAAAATGCTGGCGTTATATGGATCTTTATAGAAATGGTCTTAGTGAAAAACTAATAGAATATGCAGTAAAGAAGTATAAAACTCACAGAAGAATCCCGGATAGTATTTATGAAGAGTTGGATAAATTAGACAATATCTAAACCTTATAAAAAAGTAAAATCTATTTTTTGCTATCGTTATGCTTATTAAATTTGTAATTAAAAAGCTGATTGTTAACAAGTTGGTTGAATCATTTGTCTAACTTTAAATATTAGTTACTTGATCTTTTTTTGTATTAATCAATAAAGTTTGTGAATCTGTGATATTATTGCTTTGTAATTATTGAGCAATTAGTAAGATTGTTTTGCCCATTCATATTCTTTATTACGGTATTAGTCTAGCTAAAGCTTATTACAGTATTATGATTTTGGCCAATAAAAATTATTATATGTGACCAAAGATCGATATCCAACTTTCGGACTG